CCTTTTGTTCACTGTATATTGCTTGAATCATAGTAATAAAGCTTTCTCCTGCATCTAGCATGCGAAGCATCTCCAACATGAAGGTCCAGTTAACATTGTCAAATGCTTTCTCCGCATCCAAAAAGATTATTGCCATCTGCTTCTCATGTTGTAGTTCATAGTATTCTAACACATTCATCAATATTCTCAAATTATTCCTCATTTGTCTCTTAGGTAAAAATCCCGACTGATCCTTGTTTATTATTTCCACTAATATTTTTTCAGCCTCTGCGCCAGAATTGATGCAAAAATCTTATAGTCCACATTTAACAGTGATATTGGTCTATAGTTTTTCATTTCCTTCTCATCTAAGTTTTGTTTATGAATCAAAGAAATATTTGCTTCTTTCCACGTATCTGGAATTACACCTTGTTCTCTTGCCGTGTTACATATATCCTTAAAGGTTAGTGCAATCTGCTCTTCAAAAATGTGGTAAAATTCTATCGGAAGTCCATCTGTTTTGCCTCTTTATTGCCTCAACCACTTCCATCATTGAGATTTGTTGGTTTAATATTTTTCTTTGTCCTTCTGTAAGTTTTTGCAATTGATATTTTTCTAAATAACTTTTAATTTTATCCATACTCACTGTCGTTTTCCCGTATAACGTTTTATGGCGGGCTGGCTGGGGAAGGGCAGGTCAGGGAGGCAGCCATGCACGGGTCCCCTGCCCGATGTTCCCCAGTTGCAGGGCACCTAGAGAACATCGGGCAGGGGCCCCAGGCATTTAAATCCCCCCTTCCCCCAAGTCCCTCCGCAGAGTGGAGAGGCTCAGGGGAAAGGCAGCAGGGGGCTCTGCAGGGCTTCCCTGGCCTATCTGCTTGCGCAGGTGGGCCAGAGATGGTGAAGGGGCGCCCCAGGCTCCTTTCTGCCGGAGTGCTACTCCACCGCGCTCCAGCAGGAAACGACTCCTGGGGGTATCAATATGTTCTGCAATACCAGCCGGGAAAGTCTATGGGACACTCAGATGCTGTTAGCCACCTCCTGCTTATCTTTGTCAACCCAGCCCCCACACACCAAATTCTGATGATGGAGGATCTGCTGGACCCCCCCCCTTGCACGCTGCAGACCTCCCGCCACTCCACTAGGGACGGCATCCTCTCCCGTATCTTGGACTGGGTGGGGAGGGGATGGCCCACCAGTTGGATGGGCCCGGAATTCACAGCATTTGCCTCCCATAGGAATGAACTCTCAGCTTACAAGGGGTGCCTCCTATGGGGTAGCTGGGTAGTGATCCCCCCACAATTGCGTAAACAGGTTTTAGTACCCTGCACGAGACCCACCCAGGAATCGTGAGGATGAAAGCGCTGGCCAGGAGCTACGTGTGGTGGCTGGGAATGGACAGCAAAATCGAGGCCTGGGTACAGCGTTGCCAGGCCTGCCAGGAGACATGCCCCAAAACTCCGAGGGTTCCCATTCACCAGTGGGAGTCTACCCACATGCCATGGGCACGGGTGCATTTGGACTTTGCCGGCCCGTTCCAGGGGCAGCTGTTTTTCCTCAATGGACTCCTGCATCAAATGGCTGGAGGTCGTGCCAGTCGCATCTACCTCATCCCGGGCAGCCATCCGGGCCATGAGACAGATTTTTAGCACCCATGGCCTACCGGACATAGTCATGACTGATAATGGCACTGCCTTCACCTCAGGAGAGTTCCAGGAGTTCTTGGACCAGAACCTCATCAGGCATGTGCGGTCTGTTCTTTTCCACCCAGCTACCAACGGACAAGCCTAGAGGGTGGTGTGGACTACCAAGGACGTGCTAAAGCAGTTCACCCACAGAGACTGAGACTGCCGGCTTCCTGTTTTTTTGTTCAGTCTTCAATTGACCCCGAGTGCGTCCACCAGGATGCAATGGGTTGTTGCCTCACGACACAGCTGGACCATCTGTATACGGACCAAGTCCCTGAGTTGCGCCAAACTCCAGTGAGCCAGGAGGCCCCCCACGGGTTCTCTCTGGGTGACCCTGTCTTCACGCGGAACTATTCCAGCGGCCCCGCATAGATCCCGGCAAAGGTTACCCGAGTCACCGGACCCCTATTGTACAAGGTATTGATGGATGGGGGCCAGTTTCTACACAGGCACATAGACCAGCTGTGCTGCCGCCTGCTGCCCGAGGAGCCTGAATTGTCCTCCGCCAAGGAGGAGAATTGTGCCCTGGAAATATCACTGCTGCTGACCGGGAGTGACCCCCACCCACAACAGCGTGCAGCTGGATTGTTGGGAAGAGGAAAGCCCTGCACGGGCCACTATGGACCTTCCGGACTCTGTTCCTGCTTTGCAGGACTCCACAGCAGTTCCTTCT